CTGAGCGCTGGTAGTCCCCACAGCCAGGGTATCCGTCGAGGCCAGACTGCTCACGTCGACAGTCTTGATGTTCTCAAAGCGTTTGCGGCAAATCTTGTTCCAGCCCTTCTTCCGCCGATGTTTACTGAATTTGGCAGTGAGGAGGCGTGGCGGCAGACTGTGTTGCATGCCTCGCGGACCCAGCAGGAGAGCCAACTGACAGAGGGCCTCTCGACTGAGGGTGGAGCTGGTGAACACGTGCTCCACGTAGTTGCGACAGAGGAGGCAAAGGATTCGCATTCTGTTGGAGGCGGTGATTTGCTTCTCCTTGGGAAGACGCGGCTGCCAGACAAATGCAAAAAATGGGCGGAAATATCAAGAACAGGTCTGGTGTCCAGTATGTGTACGTACGCTCATATGAACACTAATTTATTTAAGTCACAGATAAAGAAAAGTTGATATCCAAGAAATGCAAGCTTCAGCATAGCGCTGATTTAAGCGCATGTGAAAATTTAGGTTACTGTAGTTTGTTATGTTTGGCCCTAGACGTGCATTAAACTAAGCATGCAAGTTAAATAGGTAAGGCCCCTCAGCTTCAGCCGCCCACAGCCTCTATGCTACGTGTGTGATGCGAGCCTGACACTATCACGGTATACCGTGACTGAGAAGACAGCCAGCTGACGCACTTACCGGACACACCATCAGCTCAGTGTGCTTTGTGTATGTGTAGTGGCTACGTGGTTTTAATTATCTACCGGAGGTGAACGCTCGCCCGGGTGTCTTACAAATTTACCCAGATGAAGTTAAGGACGCGCGTAAGTTCATATTCCCATCGGTTATGTTTGTTGCAAAATTAGGATGCATGTCAGCCATTGATACAATTATAGGAATATATTACTAGAATTTACTATCTGCTGGTCTTATTAAGTCTGATTACTAGAAGTATCATTCTTAGCAGTGGCATATTACCTCTAGCAGCAGTGTCCTAGCCCAAGCTTAGTAAAATGTGACACAGCTTTTGGCGGACAGAGGTGAAAGAGCGGAGACCAAGGCAAGTCTTGATGTGCTCCGAGCCATAAACATGCATTTACTCGAAATAGCATAAACCCAGATTCATCCTCCTTGCTGAGATTGAGCTGATATGAGCCCCAGCGTTTACTTTAATCGGCGACAGCTATGACAAATATTAGCGTCAGATATAGTGCCTGTACTACTAACACTCAACTACACTCCTAGTTAGCATTAGTAGAAATAGCAGTAGTAACAGTAACAACCATGGTTCCTTTGAGTCTGTCTTGACACCTAAGGAAGGTGAGTAAGGGCAGATAGTGCGGTAGGGCGCACGCAAAGTCTACCGTCCCTTTACATTAAATTAGACCTGCATTGGAGAAAGCGAGCTCGTTCGGTCATCTTGACTTTGTCTTGTCGCCGGTTCGAACGGGTAAGCTGACGGACTTACCGGACACACTATCAGTTCAGTGTGTTTTGCGTGTGTGTACGTGTAGTGGCTGATAGATGACCATTCCGCCCACAAACCCCAAAGGGAACGCGCAGCCCTGCAGCAGAAGCCTTTAAGCTCCTTCGCTTAAAGGCAAGTTGTGTTTTCGTTCTTGTTTTCTGGCTCGTTTTTACTTCTTCTCTCTCTCTGTATCTCTCGATCTCTCTTCTTTTCTTCTCCCCTTGCACAAATCTGCTATAAAATGCTCCCCTCCGGCTTGTTTCCTTTTTAGCACTGGGCCCATCCCACCTCAGGCGGCCGACAGCTAGGCGGTGGCCTGTTGCTGGCGTGGGGG